GAAAGTGGATGGTAGCAATTGCTCCATAAACAGATGTAGTCAAAAGTCTGCATGGTGGCAATAGCTACATAAACAGCTTGAGCCACGAGTACTTTTTGTGAGTAAAAAAAAACAAACCGCAATCCAATAGAGAACCTGTTACTGGACTTTTAAAGGTCTGTTCACAGCCGATCCCCACTCAATCTGACAGAGCTGGAACAGTTTTATGAGGAAGAACGGGGTAAACCTGCAGCATCCAGATGTGCAGCCTCAATGAGATCTGTTCACACAGACTCTGTGCTGTGATTGCAGCCAAAGGCGCATCTACTAAATACTGACTAGAAGAGGGTGAACTTTTATGCAATCACTTGTTTTATGTTAAATATTTGTATTAAATTGTCATTATTTTTGAAGAAATCAGTTTTCACATTGATATTGAAATATTTTTTGTTTAACTTTTGCCAAAAAGCCCAATTTTGCTGACATGGGCTGATTTGTTAAAGCAATAAAAGGTTAGCATACCCATGGGTGTGAATATTTTTGTGAACATTTTTAGGCACCACTGACTTAAGTGTTCTTTCTTTGGCAGAAACAGAGAGGGTACAAAGTCATCTGTAATTATTACTCCATAATTCGCTTCATTTAGGAAAAGAAACGCCTCCAAGCAAACCGGGAGTTCTTTCCATGGGAACAAACTAAAATAAAGAGTACATAAAGTTAATGGCACTGATAACTATGTGAACAACTTTGTCCTTAAGGAGACCAGTCAAGCAAAGAAACAGAGAAAATACTTTCACTGGAAATAAAACCAAAGCAAGAACACAAGATAATAAAAATAGAAATTGGATTATGTTAAGGACTCAAAATGAGCATTAAGTTATGATTCACATCTAAACCATATTTTTATTCTAACTGTAAGGTTAACGCCAGTACATTTACATGGATGCTGTGGTTCAAGCTGTGAGCGCTCCACTAGGAAACAAGAGACTTCGTCAGTTTAGGAGAACTGTAATAAAGAGTCCCTAAGCAAACCTTTAGCAGTAATTTAAAGTGCTAATGCATGTAAACCATTTGGTAATTTAAAAACAGATGAAACTGAGTTATTCACAGCTGCCTCTGCGTTTGTTTCATGCGTCAACTGCTGCTGTCTAACATGGTTAGTGTTTAAGGGCCATGCTCTCTTGACACACTGTAATTATGCAGGAGAAAGTCAGGCAACCGTGCCAGCCTTCGCCACCCTTCCTCTGTGCACCGCAGTTGAATCAACTTCCCACTGAGCAGCATTGCTGCTGAGGCCACAAAGCTTTGCCAAAGGACACATCAGAGGTGGTACTGAAGGAGGGGCAAAAGCTGCTCTTTGATTTTTTTTTACCTCTCAGATTCATCTGATTAATTTCCTTGCCTTCGTCTCCATTTGCATTAAGCAATGTCAGTTTCTGTTGCTTCAAACGCTAAGTACCCTTTAAAGATAAGAGTTTTCTTGTGTCAGTCTGTGGTGACAACTTTATTTGTAAGTCAGCTTCTAACACCACATGCCAACACGAGATTAGAGCAAGAAAGCTATTGAAACCACAAAGAAAACTGAAGAGCAGCACACACTAATGCATGAAGAAAACTTAATTGCAGCACTCACTAATGCATGAAGAACTGTGATAGAATGTGGTGCTTAAAATGTAATTAACCCACAAATCAACTTTCTTTTGCAGATAAAATGTCTAAACAGGTTCCTATGGGTGTTACCTCTTTGTTTCTGTTCAAATTTTGATATTCCTTGTAAATTTCCTTAAATATTCAGCAGCACTTCCCTCCTTAGGTTGAACATTGGCTACTGCAGTTAAATGTTCTTATTGGTTACAATGGTACAGCTTTGTTAGCATCTCCGATACTCAGCCCTGGTTTACCATCTCACTGAGAAACGACACTGGTGGCGAGTCAGGAGTTGAAATTGCGAGCATGCCAAGTATTGTTTCATTTCAATGGATTTGCTTTCACAAGGGGGTTAGTTACACTTTTATGTTCAAGTGAACATAAAAGATTTTTGAACTTTTACATTAAAAAATCAAGTCAGTGTTGTTTTTGTGACGCATTAGTGTCTGGGGTTTAATGCCACTGATTTGTATTTTAAAATGACTGAACAGGATTTATTAAGTTGAAGCAATAGAGCATTTGTACTCCTATTTGATCTCATGGACCTTTAGAAGAAGAGTACAGATATTTTATACACCTCTGAAATAGGAAACCAAATGCAGGTTCGGCTTTATAATAATGCTTTTTCAGACAGAAGTTGAAAAAACGGGTTTTGGGGGCCCATTGTGACATACCAACTGGATCGGCCTTGAATTTTTTTAAAATCCATTCTCATTGCCATAATTGATAAAATGGATATATTGACCGTACTTCTTATGTTTGTGTTTGTGAATGTTTGTCCATTTCAGCACCAGCCAAACTTTGGGTGAAAGCTGGGAAGTCTGAGACTCTCTGTCCATGATTATTACAATGTAAGCATCATTACACTGGCATCAAATTGTGGTGGACATGTTGTTGAATCTGTTGCCTAGCAGCAAGAATGCCCTGGATTCTTTTTGGAGCTTGCATTTTCTCTGAGTGCATCTATGTTTTTTTTTCTTTCTTTCTGTTTACTCGGGCTTCTTCCCATCACCCCAAAACTTGCATGCCAGGTTAATGGGCCACTCCAGACCGTCTGAAAATGTGTGTGTGTGTGTGTGTGTGTGTGTGTGTGTGGGTGGATGGCTGTTTGTCCTGTGTGTTTCTGTGTTGGCCTCTGGCCCACTGACAGTGTTTGTAACGTATGGCCACTGATAATCTTGGCACACCAAAACATAAACCATGATCTTTTTTAAAAAATCATCTGATATTCTGCAACATATCTACCAACTCAATAGTCATAAATTCCTGTTTTCAAACATCCATTAGTGATTTCATATGTGTGTAACCTGCTGAGCCCCTGGAAGTTTGGTGTCCAGGAGTCATGGGAGGACGATCAAAGAAGGCAAACATGTTACATAGGTAAATGTGTTTTAGATTTGTGCATAAAAAGCAAGAAATTGAAATGGTTAGAGTGGTGGATGTATCTTTTGTGGGTTGTAAAGCTTAACCTTCCTGGTGATGTCCGCTTGCAAAATGTGGAAATGTGTAGAAAATGCATAGATAATATAAAAAATAAGATTACATACTATTGCATTGATCAATTATGACATATATTCTCCATCAATAAACATTATTTTCATTGTATTTGCTATTTGCCACATAGATCCATTTAGATGCCATGAACATTACTCAGAGTTGCTCCAGGTTTGCCAGTTGCGATGCTAATCTCCCATTTCACCACCTCCCAGTGGTGATCTGACAACCTGTGACCGTGGAATGATGCTGATGAATTCAAGACTCATTGGACAGGGCAACATTTTGCCAACCTGTCAGATTTGAATAAGTCTGAGGGCATTGTAGCCCCGTTTCCTTACCGACAGGAGAGGCACCCAGTGTTTTCTTCTGCTTCAGGTTCAACATGTTGTGCATTTAGAGGCAGCTAGAGGGGGTATTCTACATACCATGATTTTAAAGAAGTGGTTAACAGCTCCTCAATGAATAGTTCCTCTTTTTCAGACCATTCTCCTTAAACCCAAGAGGTGGTTTTCCTGTAAAAGGTGCAGTTTGATTTTGCTACATGCATGCTCAGGATGAGGGATTGCAGTAAAGTCAACGACAAAGCGCATGTGACTGTCCACTGTCGCTGTGTGCTTATCCAAAAAGAGAGAATACTGAGTCAGTGACTGGATACATTCTGCTGGGTTTCCTTAGATTGAAGACATTTTAAATCAATTTGAATAATGAAATGGTTTTACTCCATTTTTTTGACTATCAGGATCAATTTGAATGTATGTATGATTGGACTGAACTGATCTTTTTTTGTAAAGTGCCTTGAGATAACACATGCTGTGAATTGGCATTGGATAAATAAACTGAATTGAATGAGCTGTGCATGAAAATCCCAGTAGATTAGAGGTTTGTACTCTGAGGAGCCTGCCTGTCACGTTCAGTCTGAATTTCAAACAAGAGATCTGGACTCTTCATATCTCGATGCTTAAAGTCACTGAATCGCTTCCATTGAACTGGTTTGCTTATATCGGAAAAATCTGCCCAGTGAATTTATGGCACTGTTGCCTTGCAGCAAGAAGGTCCTGGGATTCTTTCTGCATGGAGTCTGCATCTCCTCTCTGTGTATGCATTGATTCTTTCTGGGTACTCCTGCTTCCTCTAACAGTCCAAAAATACATGGCCGGTATGTTAACTGGCCTAGTGTGTGAATGCATGTGATGGACCGGTCCCCTCACCAAACGACTGCTGTAGGTAGACGCCAGAATGATGGATGGTCCCATGCATGTAAACTCCATGCAGAACAACACCAACCTAGGATTCAAACCCAGAACCTTCTTGTTGCAAGGCACATGCACATCATTCCTGAGGATATGGATGTATAATGATTTTAAAAAATAATTTTATTATTGCAAATATTTAACTGCTTGAGCTTATTCTGAAAATAGTGACACAATCACAATGATATTCTAATAATTGAATATTTTTATGTCATAATTTTGTACAGTTTATTATTATTATTACTATTATTGTTAAGATAGTTTTTTTTTTTTTACATATCTTTTAAGACTTTTGGACCTTTTTTGTGAACCTCTATATATATATCTAATGCTGCTGTTACGCCTGAAATTTCTATTTCTATGCGATAATTTAATAATATATAAACTGAATTATGTCAGTAAATTCGTGTAAAATATAACAGATTAATAAGTTAAAAAAGATAAACACTGCAAAGAACAACTTTGCTCTACATAGCAGCACCTGCACCGCTCCTGTAGGAGCCAGCGCTGAGGGCTACAATATTATTGAGCTAATATTAGTGTCATAGGGAAGCCCCTTTTTATCAGAGGCATGAATCACATGGTTCAGGTCTGCTGCTGCATCATCATCCTCATCATCCTCCCTGTTACTCATCCACAGTGGAAGCAGGACGCTCGCGGGCAGCAAGGTGCTCATCTGACGTGCCGACGTCACCGGGTCTTTGACAGCACTTCCTGGAGTGGTGTTTGTTGTGGGAAACAGCCCCGGTGCTGCTGAGCTGAACTGGGGAATTAGGCCACATACACGGCAGGAACAGACGCGACACGCCGTTGCTTCGCTCCCACCTTCAAACATGTGGTCGCGGCTGCCTTTGACCGCTACCAGATAATAAGGACAGAGGAGAAAAGAGAAAAGGGGTACGCTGGAGAGAAGGACGAGGTGGAAGAGGAAAAAAAACAACAACATATTCTCAGAGCAGCACAGCAGAGCCGCCGACAGCACGGAGCTGTCGCGATGTTGTAACTAAACCATGGACAGCAGGATAAAGTAAGACCCCGGAGTTTCTTTTTTCATTTCTCTCCGTGTTCTCCCCTCTACCACCATTCAAACTGCCAAGCTAACGGCTAATGTGCGGCGGTTGAGCCAGGCAAGGCAAGGCACGGCACGTAGCGTTGACTCGGAGCTGCGGGAGAAATGCGGAGGAATGTTCGGCGTAATTCGAGTCCTCTCCAGCCGCGGATTTAACGGCCGAGCCAGCTGGCCCAGACAGCATGTGGGTCAGTCTGTGGCTGTCTACTAGCTGACCACCAGTTAGCAGCTCTGACAGCCAAAAGCAGCAGGCGCATTCAGATAGGAAACACGAGCAAGGTCCAGATAATGGTGAAATTAGAGAACGTCTCTTTCTTAGATAACCAGCTCTCACTCGGTACGTTTTAATTTCAAAATAACGTCGAAAAGTTAACTTATTTGGCTGATTTAATTCAAAAAGTTTACGTCATCACAGAGTAATATATTTCACTTATTTATGTTAAGAAAAATTAATCTTGCATAGTATGAATTAAAAAATAAAGTGTTCCTCTATATCAGAGATGTCAAACTCATTTCCATTTTGGGTCTTCCAAGAATGTCTTCAAAAGGCTGGTTTTAAATGTATTGATAAAACTACCCATGAATAAGCTGCTTAAAAATAAAAATCTTTTCACATTAATGTAATTTGGAAATTTGCAGATAAAAACTGCTTTGATTTGATTGATATAATAATATTTACGAACAAAGCTGTTATCTTAAAGTCCTGTTCCTGTAACTCTTTAGAGTCTAGAGGGCCACATAATAAGCTATGGTGGGCCGGATTTGGCCCCTCAGCCTCGAGTTTGACACATATACTCTTTACTGCACATAATACGCACTTAACAGTTAGACATGGCTCCTTTTGCATGAATTACTGCTTCAGTGCAGTGCTGCATGCAGATGATCAGCCTGTTGTGCTGCTGTGGCAGCAATTTGCAGCTCCAGAGTCACACTAGGCCCTTAAAAACCAAATAAGACATATTTTTGGTTTTAAAAGCAATAAGGATGGGTGGCTTAGCAGCTCCTCCACTCAAACTGTGTTTTTATATTGTTGAGTGGGCTGAATATCTTTCTTCCTTTTCTCTTTGCTTATTTATTGAAAGCTGGCTTTATTCACTCAATATTTTTTTTCCTTTGACAAAAATAGGTGATTCATTTTGTTCCATCTGAAAACAGAAATAAATATATAATTTAAGTTTTTGTGGCACTAGTGGCCTTTATTTGTTAGTAGCTGGACAGGAAGAAGGGCAGAGAGAGAACAGGAAGACATGCCATGAACGGCCTGGAGGCAGGAATCGAACCGGCGAACAACTGCATTGAGGACTGTATGTGGTGCTTCTGCTCGACCGAGTCTGAGCTGTTTTCACCCAACTTCCAAAATAACATCTCATTTATTTTTTTATAGCTCTAGGTACATTTTCAGGGCATAAAGTGGCTCTTTGAAATGAAAAGGTTGCTGGCCCCGACCTTTGACCCCTATACATTGTTCTCTCAAAGCAGGGTGGTACTTTTACACTGTGTGGGCAGAGGTGATTAACACTTTGGGCTGCGTTTGGTGGTTCTAGGAACAGTGACTCGTTTATGCCCTTTTGCCACCAGTTTTTCCCTTCCACTAAACTTTCTATAACACTGTTGGATATAGCAGTGTATGAATAGCCAGCTTTACAGCAATAGCCTTTTATGGCTAATTCATGTCTCCTGGACAACTGTGAAGTCACTTTTTGAATTGAAATAATTGAAAACTAACTTCTAATTTATTGAGCTGTGCTTGTGTGACTGAACTGCTGCCAGTATTGACATTCTCTGCTCTGGTAAAGTAGGACAGATCAAGACTTTTTTTCTTTAAATAGAAGTACACAGGCAGCCTGATGCATTCCATCTTCACCACAGATGTGTTTTTTTTTTTTTTTTAATGCTGAATGCAAAGTTAAAATTAATTTGTTATTTTTCTTTTAATGAACTGTTTAATTCTTTGCAGGGAGAACCCAGAAAGAACATTCGATCTGGTAGTACAAGTGGCGTGCCCATCGTCTGAAAATGAGGGTAGGTGATGTCAATATTTCCATTCTTAATATTTGGATTGTGCGTCATCTCCTTGGTGTGTGCATGTGCTGAAAGTTTATGAAGCTTTTCATCCATAGAGCTACAGCTGAAATATATATACACTTTTAATTATTTGAAAGTTTAATTACCACAAGCTTTCCATTAATATTATAACCTTTGAATAAAAACAACACAGTTTCTTGGTTCTCACATAAACAGCTATTCTAATCATTTATCATTTTAAAGATGCTGTAGTGGGCTGTTAAAAATAAAGAGCAGTATTTTTCCAGTTTGATTTATTGTTGGTAAACAATCAATTCATTTAAGTCTGAAGGAAAAGTGAAAATAATCATTCAAGCCTAGAAGAAACAGCATCAAACAGGAGATGTGTTTTATGTGTCAACAATCAAAAACATTACAGATTTACAGCAAACATTTGCTTTTCAGAAATTGTACACAAATTTAATGTGCCGGTAGTAGCTGATTTACATAAAGAAAAAACAGCAACTATAAACTGTGGCCATTGAGGTTGTGCTAACACACTTAGCACCGACAGAATCAATGCTAAGTTTGACCTAATATCTGCTATATTAGCTCAAGTTATTTCTGAACATTTTGTTTATACGAATGGCAATGACATTAAATTTGTGTACAATTTCTGAAAAGCAAATGTTTGCTGTAAATCTGTTATGTTTTTGATTGTTGACACATAAAACACATCTCCTGTTTGATGCTGTTTCTTCTAGGCTTGAATGATTATTTTCACTTTTCCTTCAGACTTAAATGAATTGATTGTTTACCAACAAGAATGCCATAAGCATCTTCATGTGTATCCACGAGGGCTATTTTTTTTTTTTGCTTCTCTGTGTTTCCAAAATATATTATTATCCTCCAGCCTTTAATTATGATAATTGTTCAGCTTTGCAGTCAGAGTGCCATGTAATTTCAGTGAGCATTTGCTGAGTGCACTTGCACATTATCTTAAAGCAAGACACCAAGTGTCACCGAACTTCAGTGCATGACTGAGTGGGTTTTGCACAATGAGAGTAGTCATTATAACTGTTCTGTTGTTATGCTTGTGTTCACTCAGTCAGGATCCAGAGGACAAGAAAAGGTCAGGACTGAGTTCAAACAAAAAACCTCAAATGTCAATAAGTTAGCTTTAACATCTTGCTCTGAGACTGATCAAGTAGATATATAGTTTATGTATTTAACAAATGTCTTGAGTTGAAGTTGGAAGTTTTATTTTTGTAACTGTTACCCCACAAAAATGCTTTAGAAATCACATTATTGGGTCAGAAAGCTGCTTTACTGTTCTGCTGCTTGCATTAATAAAATATTCCATCGCTGGTGCCCAGAGCTTTTCTGGGAAACGACCGTTGCTCATAAGGAACAACGCTGTGTTCTACCTTTTCATGGATATGGAAATTAAAATATATATTTCACATCAATATCCACCATCCCTCATCAGTTGAATATTGTGTAAAAACATTTTTGTTGCACATTACACCCACTGTCTTCTTTTGCCCGCTCAGAGGACTGGATTTAAAGAGGTGTTATTGGATGGCTCACTTGGGCAGCTGCTGGCTTGAGTAGGGAAGGCTGAAAGTTGTCCTTGGATGCATTTCTCATATTGGATTTTCAAACCAAACTCATAAACTGCCGGATTGTGCAGTAATAACTGACTTCCTTCTTGTATGATCCGGGGTCAGGCTCATATCCGGACTCCCTGTTCCCCAGAGCAGACGGTGCAGAGAGCAAGGCTTGCACTCTTCAGGGAAATCGTATTCTGCTCAGTTATTTGCCCAAAGTGCTTGTTCTGCTCAGAGTTCTGATTGGATCTAAAACTTATCAGTTGAGGAAGCTGTTTGTGAGCTAACTCTCAGGAGGGGCTTATGGTTGCGGTGGTCAGCGTTTGACAAGAAGCAGTTTCATTTACTCCAATGAGGAATGAATCACTTCTCCAAAAAATTTGGATCAGTTTCAGTTTCTTTGACTTAACCTCAACTAGTGTTTATGAAGTAGAACACTTCTTGGGTGTTAAAACGATTCTCAAAATTATTTTAACATCTTAATGACCTAAACGTAAAATATACCCGTGTAATTTTTCTGTAACCTTGCTTGCATTTTTTTATTTTTTTTTGTCTCAACGCTACGGTGAGCTTCTATTGAGAGCGAAGTGGGTTAGCGTTATGAGTCATAATCAACAGACCCTGGACGCACTGTGAAACCTCCACAAAGTCACACACACCACACACCAGCACCGTTTTCTCCTACAGTCTAACGTGATCTTTTTCTTTTTTATTTGCCAAAAAGTGCCACTTCATATTCACACATTATCTTCCCACTGCCTCAGAGAGGCAAACAAACAGTAGGGCGACCATGACGGACTATAATTAAATTGTCATAGCAACGTGATGTAGAAGATTGGAGCATTTGGCATTTGGAGAAGTGGTGGAAGCTTGCTTGTGATTTTTCACATCTCTTCCCCACAGTTCAGGGAACTCGAGCTTTATTTTAGATTGATTTCTGGCTGCGTTTTCAGTGTCGTGCGTTTCCCCTATCAGTGATCTAGTTTACCCTGTAGAAAGTGACTGAAGAGGTGGAGGAGAAGTGCTTGCTGTGTGCGTTATCTTGCTGATGCCGCACCAGGGTTTTGCCACTCTCACCACATCCGGGTCCTGCAGGTTTGAAACTAGATCCATGCGCAGCACCTTGATTCAGTGCCTCTACTCTGTAAATGGTAGTCCCAGACACTTGTGTAGGTCACAGTTAGCTTGCAAAGTTCAAAAAAGCTGCACAAAAGTCAGGTAAAAATAGCTAACCCCATATGAATGGTCACCACGCCTGCACCTAAATTTTTTCTGCTACCTGGGTTTCGCACCTTCTCTAGCCACAATGCTGAAGACACCCACATATCTGCAAACAGCCCTGCAACAAGCCTGCATTTCAATAAGCTGTTCCATGTTGGCCTTGTTAAACAGACTACTCTCTAAATAGATTGTGCTCTATATAGTTACCATTTCACTTGGCAACGTCTTAACTTTGATTTAAAATGGTGTAAATAAAGTAGATATTTTATGGAGAACACAACTTATAGAAGGCTGATAAAGTTCTGGGCAATGCTCTGGAGGTGAAGTTGCAATGATGGATTCTTTATATAGTTTTGAAAATAACAGACAACCTTCTGCATCCTCTTAAGACCGTCTTCAGTCAGAAGCCTCTTCAGAACTACTGTAATAATGACTGCTACAGGAGTCAAAGCCATCAGCATTTATAACTCTGATGAACATTTTATGTGTTAAAAAACTATATTTTCACTCTGGGATTAATAAAACACTTTAAACTGTAGATGAATCCTCCCACCTGAGCTCTGGGTCTCTACAGTTCCTCTGGAGTTAGCATTGCCTCATTACAACCGTATGACTTAAACGACTTCTGAGTATTCTTCTGGAGTTTTTGAAGCAATTTCACAGTAAAGGCGACTGAATAAGTTTTAGTGAGATAAAATATGAGGAACCTTCTATCACTTTCTTTTCACAATTTTATATGACTTTGTTTCTCTCAAACAATCCGTTTAAGTTACATTAAAGTTTATGCTTGCAGTGAGGTGTATGGAATATGTTAAAGGGCACATTATGTCACTTCAACGACCAATCCTTTATTTCTTCTTTAAGTGACTTCAGTTTGCATGACATTTGCTGCTGATGTACATCCTAACATCTGGTTAAAAACTATGGCCTTGTAAAAAGAAAACTGTTAATTTGTAATTAGGAAGCAAAAATCATGTTACCTCATAATTTGACTCTGCCTGTGGTCTGAAATGATGCGTTGGATCAGCTCCCAGTCATTATTCCCCAAGGGTAGTTTTTTCCTTTTTTTTTTCTTTGGCAGGCAAAGTGCAGCATCAGCAATGTAGGTAATCCACCGATTTCAAGTTTAGACGGTAAAATTTGCAGTGAATGATGAAATACAATTTCAAACTCGTCATCATTTGAATTAGGGCTGAATCAATTAATCAGACTAATCGTGATGAATAGATTATTGGAATAATCGTCAACTAATTTAGTGATCAGTTAATTATTAACTAGCGTATGCAGACTAAAAACGGCTATTTTCTGAAAGAACAGCATCCTCAGAGCAGTAATTCAACTAAAACTGCAAAAATGTTTACATTATCTTTTCAGATGAAAAGAATCTTGCTGTGTAAATATGTTCAACTCAGAAATCTTCATAATTTTAGCTTCACCTGATTCAAATTAACAACCCCATACTAAGCACCTTTTACTATCCAATTATTAATCAATTAATCCAAGAAGTAGTCAACATATTATCTCTATGCTCTATTAATGCTAAGTCAAGCAGGAATCTTATTTTGCTGCATTTTAGGCAATAAAATGTTGACTTTTTTTTGTTAAAATTTTTTAATTACAATTAAATGAAAAATCAGCAGAATGTGGCAATTTTTTTTCTCCCTGTAAAACAAAAGAATAATCGATGGAATAATCGATTACTAAAATAATCGTCATTTGTAGCTCTACTTGGAATTCTCCGTTATTTTCTAAAAAGTACTAGTGTGTTTTCTTTTTTATATATATATATATAGTGCATCAGCATTCTGAAACGGTGTTGCTGGAAGGAAACTACAGTGAGAATTTAAAGTTTGCCACTGCAGTGGTGGCGGTGTTCATACCTGGACTCGGCCCCACACTTCTAACCACAGATCTGTGGCTAGATGACAGACACTGTCCCTCTTCCCCCCATGCAGGTCCACAGAGACCTGGCCTCCCTGTTCAGCACCCCGCTCAGTTCTGCTCAGCTCTGTTGGCACGCTGCTCTGTGGATGCTCAGGCTGTGAGCAGAGTGTTGCCTGAGAGCGTGACTGGCATTCTAGCTACTAGCGGCCCTGGCTACATAAAGCCATATTGATGTGCTTCCAAGATGCTGCCAAAGCTAGCAGATGACGCTAATGCTGCCAAGGCAGTAGGTGGGGACAGATG